ACCAGATCTATTTCCAGTCAGGGCACATGCCCAGGTTTTGGGCATGCTCCCCAGGATAGGGCATGTAGGAGGCAGCCGATTGGTGTTTCTATCCCTCTCCCTCTCTCTCTAAAATCAATAAAAACATATTTTTAAAAATTATACATGAAGGAAACTTAAGTACCAGAAGGTGAAAGATTCATGTGCTACCTCCTGATCATTAAAGTATATTATAATCATTGTTTCATTGTTTACTTCTTCATTAGTTAGGGATTCTCACACTTTCCCCCCCCCCCTTGGTTTGTTTTTGTCCCAGAGTCCGATGAGTGGGCCTTTTATTCCTGCTACTCCTGTCAAACCTGCCTTGCCTGCCGGCCCCCAACCCCCACCTCAGCCCCAGCCCCAGCCCCAGCCCCCACTCCCAACCCCAACTCAAACCCAGGCACAGAAGAGGAGATTCACGGAGGAGCTACCAGATGAACAAGAATCTGGACTTCTTGGATACCAGGTTAAATAAAATATCCTGTCTTACTTTCCTAATCTTATTCTGTATTCTCCCTTTAAGTAAAGATAAATTCACATCTATATCAACTGTCCTCCCAGTACTAGGATTTCCATTTTCTGGAATCTACTTAGATTAGGTTTTTATCCTTGGGGGATTAATTTAAAGCAAGAGTTGATTCCTTCTGAGTGGGTTTTGTCCTTGGGCATACAAAGCCTTCCACCTAGAGAAGTCTCTGACTAGCATCTAGAAGGAATTCTGTAGAATTCTGGACTTCTCTTATTCATACACTTGCAAGCCTCTAATACTTCTTACTTCCCTACACATCTCACTGAAAGCTCATTCTACCAATATGTGGTTTATATTTAAAACCTTGGATTTCAGTTTTTGATTTCCTTTCTCTCCCAAAAAAGGTGGTGATTTTTTTTCTCCGATGCCCCCCCTCCCCCACCAAAAGTGTCAGAAATGCAGTGAATCTGCATATACATAATTATAAACACAGTCATTCACTAAGGATTTTTTTTTTTTAAGATTATGTAGTTTGGTGCAATTTTGTTTTATCAGGAAAAGCACCTTTACTTTTTGCTGGAATCCTTGAAGCATTCTTTTGAAACAAACTTTGAAATATTTTTATAGCTTATAACTAGGTTTGTACAAACCGTCTAAGTTATGGGCAGTTGAAAACAGAGACATAACATAATGAATCACCACATCCCTAACCATCCCAACAGATAAATTATCTCTACTCTGACTGTGGTTATGCTCCAGATCCCAAGGAGCTATGTAGTGCAGCTTACTGCAATTTACCAGAAAGATGAGGCACTTGACAGTTACATTAAGGAGCTAAAGTCAATACAGCAGTTGTAGATTTGCTAATGCCACTGTATTTTTCTGCTCATAGCATGGACCCATTCATATGACTAATTTAGGTACAGGCTTCTCCAGTCAGAATGAGATTGAAGGTGCAGGATCGAAGGCGGCAAGTTCCTCAGGCAAAGAGCGAGAGAGGGACAGGTAAGTTAGTTGGAACGTAATTATATGAATACTAGTGGCCCGGTGCATGAAACTCGTGCACGGGGGTGGGGTGGGCCTGCACCCTCTCCAATCTGGGACCCCTCAGGGGATGTCTGACTGCCGGTTTAGGCCCGATCCCACAGTCGGATACCCCTCTTGAAATCTGGGGCTGCTGGCTCCTAACTGCTCGCCTGCCTGCCTGCCTGATCGCCCCTAACCACTGTCTGCCTGCCTGCTCACCCCCAACTGCCCCCCCTGCCGGCCTGATCACCTTTCAACAGCCTGCTTGCCCCCAACTGTCCCCACTCCACCGGCCTGCTCGCTCCCAACTGCCCCCCACTGCGGGCCTGATTGCTCCCAACTGCCCCCCACTGCCAGCCTGATTGCTCCCAACTGCCCCCCACTGCGGGCCTGCTAACCCCCGACTGCCCTCCCCTCCTGGCCTGATCGCTCCTAACCGCCTCTGCCTTCGCCCTGCCACCATGGCTTTGTCTGGAAGGTCTCCCGGTCTAATTACCATATTACCCTTTTATTAGTATAGATATTCATATGTCATTTGTACCATTAGTGTAAATAATGATCATTGCTACAAGTTTCCATGTTCTAATACTGAAATGAAATCACTTGGGCAAACAAGTTCCTGTTGTAGTTGATGCAGTAATGGAAAATACAATGATATAACTTCCCCAGTCTTAGACGCAGCTATACTTAGCTTTGAATAATTCCATGCTTGCTTATTCAGTCATCTTCCTTTACTTTCATTGTACCTGTATCTTGGCCATTTTTTTTTAAAGGGTAGGTAGTAGTTACACAATCAAGCCATTTTGCTGCTTAGAATCGAGTATCATGGATGGAGGTACTTGAACCGGAGTCAAGCCTGCCATCTAGTGCTTGGATTCTCCCTATATCATTATTAACGTTCATATGAGGGAGCTCACTTCCCATAACAGTTCCTTCTGTTTTTGGCATGGCCTGGCGATGTAGACAAAGCCTCATAATCTTACAACTTGAAAACAGCTTGAAGGTTGAAATTAATGTGAACTTGAAAGGTTATCTGCAAACTGTATTGTTATTCCCCTGCTTATCTATAGGAGAATTTAAAATTGATTGAATTTGTCTGAAAGAGTGTTTCTTTTTTAACAGGCAGTTGATGCCTCCACCAGCCTTTCCAGTGACTGGAATAAAAACAGAGTCTGATGAAAGGAATGGGTCTGGGACCTTAACAGGGAGCCATGGTGAGTAAGGTATAATGGGGGGACTAAGGGAGTGGCTAAGACTGGTGCTAAGCTATTAATTTTCTAACCTGATGTTCATTCAGGTGCGATACATTTAGGTGTTTAATCCAACCTCTACAATCTAATGAAAAAACTTTTCTTTTTATTCATACGGACAGCATATAGTTACACAGCATTTTATTTTCAACCGACGTGTGTCTAGAAAAGAGTCAGTCGACTTATATTTTATACATAACATCAGTGACATTAAAACCCTAGGAAATACTAATGATTGGTAGGTCATTTCAAAATTTTGTTGCCTTGTTATCTAAATACTTGGAGGTAATCTGAAACAGAATTAAAGATCAATATTTTTGTATTGGGAACTGAGCCATGTCTCCTCTCATAGCTCTGTTGGTTGGGAATGGTCAGCCTGTGGCTATTATAAAAAAATGTTGCTTCTTAGTATCCCAGAACTCTTAAATCCTGTAGAGGTACATGGGAACATTTTTGTTCCTTCCCTTTAGTCCTAATAAAAATGAACAGAAGAAAATTAATTTTTTTCTTTTCTTTAAACTCTTTAAAAGGTGAAGTATCGGCCTCAAAAGATGCCCTTGCTAACTTTCCTTTTTTCTTTTTTTTTTCTTTTTTTTTTTGTGTGTGTGTGTTTCTTTTTTCTTTCTCTGTTTTCTTACATGGTTCTGGTGGATTCACATTTGCTGATGCTGGTGCTGTTTTTCGTGTGACCTTCAACGCATTTGGGTGACCACTGACCCTGTGACCTCAAAATGGCGTCCAACTAACCACTTAAAATTAACATCTTTTTTTTTTAATTAACGAATTTATGGTATTATCTTTTTTCTTGGCGGGGAATGGGGTTTGGGTTGTTTTTCTCTATTCTAGATTATCCAGTTAAGAAGATGAAAACCACAGAGAAGGGATTTGGCTTGGTGGCTTACGCTGCAGATTCATCTGACGAAGAGGAGGAACACGGGGGTCATAAAAATGCAAGTAGCTTTCCACAGGGCTGGAGTTTGGGATATCAGTTCCCTTCATCACAACCACGAGCTAAACAACAGATGCCATTCTGGATGGCCCCGTAGGAAACAGTGGAACAGACTTTTTTGACCCTCGGTGACTCTTCTTTAGCAATAATGCATGCATTTGATTTCACAAGACTTTGGCCTGTACTGGGAACCATCGTGGACCTTGGCAGAAGTTAGAGGTGCAGTGTCTCCTTTCTTAAAAGGCTTTCGTTCTTTTTAAAATATCCTTTTTTCTTCAGTGGCATAGCATCTGTTAAAATTTATGTGGGATCACAAATCTGTCTCAAGCTTTTTTATTTAACACTCGGTGAAATGTGCTGTTCAACGCAGCATTCCATTGGGGTCATTCCTGTATACATTTGACCTGGTCCGGCCTTTCCAAATGAAGAACCCCTATTCTGATGTAGACAGTTTTATTTGTATTTTACTACTGTTTGGTCAATTTTGATAATAACTTGTTACAAACCAAGCCTTACTATTTATTAGTAGGGAAATGATTTTAAGACCATCTTTTCCTTTCAGTACTAAATCTACAGATTCCTCACTCCTATTCCATTTTTGGGTTCTTTCTGTTTTGGCAAGTGCTGTTTCACTAGTTTAAAATTGTCAGGTATAGCTGGATCCTGGGTGAGAAAATGAAGTTATTTTTTTTATTGTGTCTTTTTTGGGGAATGATCCAAAGCTGGCACCTTCAGGCACACTTGTCTCAGATAGCCATTGCTGTTTTTATTGCTCTTCTAAGCTCTTGTCTTCAACTGGGTCAGAAAACTACTTGATCAAAAGCTGGCCAGAATTTATCATAGAGATGAAACACAGTGGTCTGTCTCTCTCAGAACTGTTGCAGCTAAAATAGAGAGACTTGACTGCTCCCAATAGGATGGTGGACTTAGTGACTGAAATGGCAACTTGTCCTTTTTCTTGGCATTACAGGTTTTACCAAAAGAACTTTTTTGTATCAAATATTAATGTGTGAAAGTGAAGGAGCTAGTCTGCTGAATCAGTAGTTTGAGATACTGAACTGTCATTTTTGCACATTTGAATACTTTGCAGGCTGGCTTTGTATAAACGTATCCTCTGGTTTCCTATATGTTGTAAATATTTAGACCATAATGTCATTATAAATAAATGTATAAATATTCTGCTTGTGGTATCTCTGTTCTTAACTCCATAACCCATCCATACATTAAAATTCATAAACTTGTTTACTCATAGCACAATGACTTTCTAACCCCTCCAGAAAAATACATACATGGACCCAAAAGCTTGCATACAGTTCAGAGTTTTGACTTTCCAAAGTAAACCATTAGAAGTTCAGATGAAAAATGTCAATGTTTTAGCTCTCATGGTTAAAGGGACTGGATGAATGAAACACTTTTAACGGAAATGCAAATTATTGGGAAAACACTCTCAAAAAGGAAGTAGGATGGGCAGAAGTTTCAACAGAGTTCCCGGTGTCAAGTTCCTTCAGGTACCGGTACCTAAATAGAGGAATATAATGATAAAGTCTTCATTTATTTCCATGTTTAATTCAAGGCCACCTGAAAATTCTAATTTTATTTCCTGTTGGAGGGTAGTTTGTTTACAACAAAACAAAAATTATCTTAATAGGTTTTAGTTATATATGTTTAAAATACAGAACATATAGAATGTTCTGGAAAACAGAATATTGTCCAGATACGCCAAGGTTGTGGGTTCAATCTCTAGTCAGGGCACATACAAGAATCAGCCAATGAATGCATAGATTAGATAAGTGAAACAGTAAATCCGTGTTTCTCCATGTCCCTTCCTCTCTGTAAAAATAAATACGGAACTCCAGTTAACTAGAACTGATTTTCAACTGGTGTGCTGCAAGAATTTTTTAAATGTGCAATACCTGACTTGTCAGGGGCACTGACCTCTTTGCCTTAGATTGTCAAAATGACAAGAGCCAACACAACAGCCATCTGGTGTGAATGAAAAAATACCTATTTTGTCAGATTAGCAAAAAGTTTTTGGTGTGCCACAGAATTTTAGTAATTATGTGTACCATGAGACAAAAAAGGTTGAAAATTGCTTAACTAGAACATCTGATCTTTGAGACTTGATCCACTGTTTTCAAAAGCCCAAGTCATAGCTCTTCTTTGGGGAAATTTGCTTTTTCTGTTCTTGAGCAGTAAACTCTCAAGTCCTGCTTTGGGGGAGGACTTGGTGGGTACCATTTCCTGTTAACCCTGACATTTGGCCGAATTAGTTTATCACAAGCTGCAGACAACCCTGAGTACTTTCCTTATCACATCCTCTATCTTTTTCTTTCTGAAATACGTTTTGATTGATTTTAGAGAGAAACATCTATGAGAACCATCAATGGGCTGCCTCCTGCATGCCGTCCTCCTTTCTGACTTGTGTAAATAGTGATTTTAGCACATTTGCTTGGCGAGTGATGCTCTACCCCAGGGCCTTCGGCGGCGAGTGGCAGGAACTGAGGCCCGGCGGCCGGAGGGGGCGGGGCTGCCTACGTCACGGCGCCGTCCGCGCCGCTGGCGCCATCTTCCCGGCGGCGGGAGGGGTCACGGGTCAGTGCCGGAGCGTCGCTGCGAGTGCAGGACCGCAGGACCGAGGGCGCTCACCTACCGCGGTCCTCGCCACCGAAAGGTACAGCGGCCGGGTTCCTCGTGGCGGAGGGGCGGGGGCCCCGGCGGCCGGGCAGCTCTGCCTCCGGTCCCCGAACCTCGACTTCAGCGCCCGGCGCCTCCTCCCTGCTGCGCGGATCTCAATCTGAAGAGAGTCTCACTTCCTTTGTGCCTCGTCTTTTCCTTTTGGAAAACTGTTTTGTGTCACGGGTGGGCCCTGGAGGGAAGGTGGGGGGGTGGTCCCAGTGGGAACCGTCCGGGTGGGAAGGTGCGGAGGGGGTGTCCTAGGCCCCGGGACACTCCGCGGGGGGCGGGGGGCGGGCCCGAGCCCGGGAAGGCCGGCGCCGCCATGGACTGTCGTCCGAGGTCGCCGTCCTGGGCGAAGTGCTTTCCTCCTTCGGCCCCGGCTGCTTCGGCTCAGCGTCAACGTCGCCGGGACCGAAGGGGTCCCGGTTCGATTCCCGTCCAGGGCCCGTCCGGGGCAACCGATGGCCGTGTCTCTCCTTCCGGAGTTCCCGTCCCTCCCCGCCCGTCCACGCTCCCTGAAACCAATGGGAAATGTCCCGGGAGGATGCCGGCATCTGTCCCCGCTGCTTTGTCTGCAGGTGCCTTTTCGCGGCGGCCGGGGTCTCCGCGAGGACGATGGAGCCCGGAGCGCGCCCCGCCGGGAGCTGCGGTGGCGCCGCCGGGCTCTCCCGGGAGTACAAGCTCGTGATGCTGGGCGCCGGCGGCGTGGGGAAGAGCGGTAGGTGCATTCCCTCCCCCCCGTGGTGGGAAGCGAGGGGTGGACATTTCTTAAAACACGGGCCCTCCGCGCGAACCCGATGGGAGCCGGGCTGTCAGGCCGGCGGCGCTTAGATTCTCTCTGTGGCCGGTCACCCCGGTGCGAGTTCTAACTTCACTTTCTTCTTTCGAAGCCATGACCATGCAGTTCATCAGCCACCGGTTCCCGGAAGATCATGACCCCACCATCGGTAAGTCGGACTGCCCCGCAGGTGTCTACAGAACCCAGACAAGTGCCTGGGTGTCCGTCTTTAAAACAGTTCTTTAACTATAGTTTGAGCCTCTTTTGGTGTCTAATTCAGATTGATTTAAGAAGAGGATCAGAGCAGTGGGTGAGCAAATGCATTTTTCTTTTCCTCATTTAACTCTATTTGGATATAAGCCATTGTTAGGCTCTGTCTTTTATTGGACATGAATGGGACACTTTCTTTGTCCTATTTTTATGGCTCTACTGCATTGCTGGATTAAAGGAAAAGTTTAAAGGCCACTTAACAGAAACCTTTTGCTGTCAGTTCTCTAAGGGTCTGACTTGAGGCTGACTCTCTAACTATGAGTCAGCTGGTTTGAACTTCCACAAAAGGAAGCAGAAAAACAAGTAGAGCCAGCCTGCCGAACGCTTACAGTCGGGCTCTCCAGGGCCTGGACTTCCACTCGAAAGCTCCTCACTTACTTCCTTGTAGCTCAAGTTCACTCAACAGTAAGGTCTTCCTTCATGCCTTTTGTAATCCTTAATGCTGTATTGGCAAAATGCTCTTAGAATAAAAAGTAACTATTTCACCTTTTAAAAAGATTTGCCTTTCTCTACAAAGACTAAGAATATTACTGTTGTTCATAAACCATAAGGAGACAGATTGGACCTAAGGGTTATATCTCAGGATGAAAGGGGCCAGGGTAGGGGAGAGCACAGGTCTGCCCTGCTGCTCGTGTTTTCAGGATGTAACACTTAGTCATGGTCCTGGGTCTCCAGGAAGGATTTCGATTGAGTCAGGCCTCTGCTGCCCTGTTGTCCACAAAGCCACCGAGTGTCTGTGCTAACCCAGCTTTGGATGTGGTCATTTCGTGTAGTAGGTAACTGTTGTGGGTGAGGGAAATGGAAACAGTGCTTGCTTTTCCGTGTACTGTATTAAAGTTAGAACATTGTTCAGAGGTTCAAACTCTGGTGGAAATTCTAGGAATAAAACCGAGTTAGGGATCAGGGTAATTAGAATTCCAAAAAAATTCCCCCCATTAATTGTTTTTTTTTCAATCAGAGACTTTCTTGACAATATTAACTGATTCACCAGTAAATACGATGTCACTTGAGTTCCTATTATGTCCCAGCAATGTGGTAGGCCTGGGAGTAGAGAGGGTGAGCAAAAAGATATGGTGTCTGTTCCCACTGAGTTTATAATTTAGTACATTTTGTTTTAAACGGTGGCTGCTAGTAACTAGTACACATATTAAGTATGTGTGTGTGCTCCCATATGCACGTGTAATTAAAATTCATGAAACTGTACTTACCTCACTATATGTGGTACAGTCTGGTATTTTCTTTTTTATTTAAGGTTTCTGCTTGTTTATTTTAATGCTGGTCCCAACTCATTAAATTCATTCATAATTCACTAATCCTAATGGATCATGTCCTGTAGTTTGAGAAATATTGATTTAGTCGGCTCTTCTTTTTGAGGAAGAGTCAGAAGCAGGGGTTCAAGAAAAAATTTTGATAAGAAAATACTTCGGGATATAAGCAACAATTGTTTGAATGGTGAACATATTAAGTATTTTTTCTCTCTTTTTAAATTTCCTGTATTTTCCAAGGTTACTGCAATAATATGCATAAAAAAATTTGCTGCCCTGCCCGGCTTGGCTCAGTGGATAGAGTGTCAGCCTGCGGATTGAAGGGTCCCAGGTTCGATTCCGGCCAAGGGCACATGCCTGGGTTGCAGGCTTGATCCCCCGTGGGGGGCGTGCAGGAGGCAGCCAGTCAATGATTCTCTCTCATCATTGATGTTTAAAAAAAAAAAAAATTTGCTTCCATAAAGGAGAAATCAGTGACACTGGATTATTTAGAATTTTTTCTCTTTTCTATAGTATTAAAATGAGGAGGAACTATAGTATATTGCTTTTGAGTCAAGCCAGCCCTGGGTTTTAATTCTGGCTATATCATTAATTAATGTTTAATGTAGGGAGATTTAATTTTTAGAGTTTAACTTTTTAAATCTGTAAAATGGAAATAATACCTTGTTGGATTATTATAGAATGAGTTAATGTATATAAATTACTTAATGTAATGCCTGCATTTAATAAGTGGTAAAGTTACTTTTTGGCCTAATATTTTTTTAAATGATCTCAGAATTCGTTTTAACTTAGAATTGTAGTTGAGATCTTATAAACTTAAGCTATGAATAAACTTACATCACTGCTTAAGTGAAAAAATAAATTTAGTTGAAGACCCACTTTATGAATCTCAATAGACTTAGCATACTGCCAGAGAAAATGTGGACACTTAAAGAACTTATGTAATCTGCTTTTCCATAAGATGAATTTTAAAGAAGGGTTGCATATTCCTGTGTTTATGGGGTCACAGTACACCTTTCTTCCTTTCTGTAGAAGATGCTTATAAAATCCGGATCCGTATTGATGATGAGCCTGCCAATCTGGATATTTTGGATACGGCTGGACAGGTATCTAATCCCAGAATGCTATGAATAAGACATTTTCACTCTAGTAAAGGAGGGGGGAAGGCTTATGCAGAGAATATCACTAGTTCATGTCTTTTAATTTTTCATGCACTCTCACTCAGGATAGCAGGTAATTGATATATCTCTTCCTTAATCTGAAATAAATAGCTAATATATATGTGGTTCTAGGTTGCATCATTACATTAATGACCCTTGTTTCCCTCTAGGCAGAGTTTACAGCCATGCGAGATCAGTATATGAGGGCAGGAGAAGGGTTTATCATCTGTTACTCTATCACCGATCGTCGAAGTTTTCACGAAGTTCGGGAGTTTAAACAGCTTATTTATCGAGTTCGACGTACTGATGATACACCTGTGGTTCTTGTAGGAAACAAGTCTGATCTAAAGCAGCTAAGACAGGTGAGGACGGAGTTGAAAATGCTGTCTGAAACCTAATGGGATTAGTCATTTTCGTTTTTCTGTTTACAGATTCCTCTGTCTGAAAGTAAAAATTAAAAATTAGCTTCTCCCTAACCTTGAAAATTTCCTGTTATATAATAATTTGGGATCAAAATCTGGATTTCAGGAATCAGTTTACAGGACAAAATCCACAGGATAGTAATCAGATGGCATAGAATATGTATTAAATGAAGGATCGTGGCATGTTCAATTCCTAAAACAGCAGAAATGTTTATGTTGCATCAGGAGAAACTAAAATTAGACTTGAAGATATACTTCCCGGTGGTGAGGATTATGAGCCCTGAAGGGGAGAATAAGAGAAATTGTAGGGGATTTTAGAATAAGCCATACCTTTCAAGTTAGCAATGATGTTTAACATTTTGCTGTTCAGTGTAGAGTTTCTGAAGGTGTAGTGAAACGGGCACACTCATGGCTACTACTGGACACAATGAATGGTACAAATTGTTGGAAGTACTAGTAATTTGACTTTGAAAAATTTATTCAGAGATTTGTATGTAAAATGTTTATTGCCAGGCTATTTATGGTAGCCAAAAATTAGAAAAAGCCTAAATACCCAAAAGTAGGAGAAATTATGGTATATCCATAATTGAGTATATCAATTTTTGGTTCCTTACAGTTTTCAGTATTGTAGTTTAAATATACATCTGTTTGCCTCATGTTTTACATCCTTAAAATGAAAAGTATGAAGAAAATGCAGATTGCACTTTTGATATGTATAACTGTTGCCTGTTGCAAAGGGTTATCTTTAAAATAGAGTAGAAATAGATTCACATAATTTGAAGGCAGAAGGAATCAGAACTCATGTAATTTAGCCTCCCAACATTACGAAAATCACTGCACTCTGCTTGAATACCTCCAGAGTTGAGAAGCTCTCTTCCTGTTAAGGTAGCGCCTTCCTTTGGGGTAGTTGTCATTGTTTTCCACTTGTACTACTACACATTTTCTCTGTTTACATTTTTAAAGGTCACTAAGGAAGAAGGATTGGCTTTGGCCCGAGAATTCAGCTGTCCCTTTTTTGAGACATCTGCTGCGTACCGCTACTACATTGATGATGTATTCCATGCCCTTGTCCGGGAGATACGTAGGAAAGAAAAGGAGGCAGTACTGGCCATGGAGAAAAAATCGAAACCCAAAAACAGTGTATGGAAGAGGCTAAAATCTCCATTCCGGAAGAAGAAAGATTCAGTAACTTGAAGTTGTGAAGTGTTTACGTGTGAACTGCAGTGCTTAATCAAAGCAGTCCAGTAACCTGCATTAGTGAGCATGGTGCTTGCTCTCTCTCCTGTTATGACCGTTATTTTTAAAGTAACTGATGAAGGGGACATGCCTACTAGGAGTTTTCAATGATGTGGTATTTAATATATTGTTTCTTAGCTAATTCTGATTTATTAACCCAGTGGAGCACTTTCTGCTTTTAAATTGTCACATTAGAATTTGATCTTCCATAGTTTTGGGTTCTGTTGCTGATTAATGAATTAATGTAAATTGTTTATATCCAGGGGAATATGTATACCATGTGTTGGACTAAGCTCATAAGAGGAATTTTTTGCCATGCACTACTACACATTATCTTTTCACTTCAGTTTCCTGGGACTGTTCCAGAGAAGGACCTCCGTCTTTTCTATTCACACTGTGCTTCCTGGAAACAGAACAAAAATCTTATAGGGAAACCAGTGCTAAAGAGACCGGTGCTGAAGTTCAGCACATAGTTGTGGAACTGACTCCTGTTGCAGATCATGGAGTGATGAGATTTGGGGAAGTAGGCCATATGTTTACAGGAACTTGGCTAGAAAAACAGTTGGGTCAGAACAGTGTTCCCAGTATGCACCTGGCCTTTCTAAGAAATGTACTAGGAAGGGTGAGAACAAACAGAAGCATGTAAAATGTAATGAAGGGTTCTCCTATGAGCTTCTTTTACTCTTTGTTTCAGGGTTTGGACTTTTCTTTACCTTCAAAGGTAAACACTTAGGGAACCATTACTGGATTCCAAACTCATTTAATTTAAATCCTAAGTTGGGACAGCCATTGCCTTGTAGAGGTTTATTTTTCCCCCAGAGATGCACTTATCCCTTAGCATTCCTGTGCTCTTTTTTTTTTTTTTTCTTGTGGCACGTTTATTTATCTTAAAAGCTGTATTTTGTGTTATTGTTTTCCTGAAACACACAGTGTGGTAGACATAGCTACATTCAGTGTCTTTAGAGATAAAAGAATAGCATGGGAAAAATGGTTTACTCGGTTCTCATCTGTTAGCATTTGCTGAACATCCAGGGCCTAGAGAGCAGTGACCACGGACATTTTATTTTGCATGTCAGCCTTGTTTTTATGTGTGAAATGGTAGTGTTCCTCAGTACCTGGACCAGATTGTAAGTACACCGAGGAGATCTGTGGTCAAGATCAATGGTCTTCAAACTTTGTTGTTGTTGTTGTTGTTTTGTTACTTAGATTCCACATATGAGTGCAATCATGTGATACTTGTCTTTCTCTGACTGACTTATTTCACTTATGGAGAGTATGATACTCTCCAGGTCCCTCCATGCTGTCTGAAAGGATAGAGATTCTTCTTTCTTACTGTTGCATAGTATTCCATGGTATAAATGTACTATAGCTTTTTTATCCACTCATCTACTGATGGGCACTTGGGCTGTTTTCAGATCTTAGCTATTGTAAATTGAACATAGGGGTGCATACATTCTTTCTGATTGGTGCTTCAGGTTTCTTAGGATATATTCCTAGAAGTGTGATCACTGTGTTAAATGGCAGTTCCATATTTAACTTTTTGAGGAAACTCCATATTGTTTTCCATAATGGTTACACCAGTCTGCATTCCCACCAGCAGTGTATGAGGGTTCCCTTTTCTCCACATCCTCGCCAGTACTTATCACTTTTTGATTTGTTGATGATAGCCATTCTGACAGGCGTGAAATGGTACCTCATTGTCGTTTTGATTTGCATCTCTCAGATGAGTAGTGCTTTGAGCATTTTTTCATATGTCTCTTGGCCATCTGTATGTCCTCTTTGGAGAAGTGTCTATTTAGATTCTTTGCCCATTTTTTAATTGGATTGTTTGTCTTCCTTTTGTTAAGTTGTATGAGTTCCTTATATATTTTGGATATTAACCCTTTATCAGATGTATATTGCCAAATATGTTCTCCCATACAGTGGGCTCCCTTTTCGTTTTGTTGATGGTTTCTCTTGCTGTGCAGAAGCTTTTTATTTTGATGTAGTCCCATTTGTTTATTTTCTCCTTAGTTTTCTGCCCTAGGAGCTGTATCTGTAAACCTATTGCCATGAGAGATGTCTGAGATTTTGCCGCCTGTGGTTTCTTCTAGGATTTTTATGGTTTCACGACTTACATTTAAGTCTTTTATCCATTTTGAGTTTATTCTTGTGTATGGTGTAAGTTGGTGGTCTAGTTTCATTTTTTTGCATGTATCTGTCCAGTTTTCCCAACACCATTTATTGAAGAGACTGTCTTGACTCCATTGTATGCTCTTGCCTTCTTTGTCAAATATTGAGTATAATGGCTTGGGTCGATTCCTGGGGTCTCTGTTCTGTTCCATTGATCTATATGCCTGTTCTTGTGCCATTACCAGGCTGTTCTGATTACGGTGGCTTTGTAGTATAACTTGAAATCTGCTATTGTGATTCCTCCACCTTTATTTTTCTTTCTCGAAATTGCTGCGGCTATTTGGGGTCTTTTTTGATTCCATATAAATTTTTGGAGTATTTGTTCTAGCTCTGTGAAATATGCTGTTGGTATTTTAATAGGGATTGCATTGAATCTGTAGATTACCTTGGGTATTCCCTGTGCTCTTTAGAAGAGCTAGGCCTGGCAAAATGTTGTTAGGCCCTTTGTCAGACTGACTGCATTTTCCATACAGAGAAGAGACCTCAGGAGTTTGAGTAAAATTGTGTACGTGCCTCCTTGACACTGACAATCACTAGACTCGGTGCTCTGAGAAAGCCTGTGGTATTTATGTTTAACGAGCCAGTCTTGAAGCTTTAAAATTCCCATACGTTGAGTTTCTTATTGAAGATATCTTTACAAGGACTTTGCAAAGTTCACCTCACAGTTTCTGAGCCTTGACAAAGCTTAGCATAAGAGAATACCACTTTGATAATCTATTGTCCTGGGAAGAAACAGCTTTAAATGTTGGTGGAATTCTCTCTTAGAATCAGGATTGTTTTGATATCTGAACTGGTTATGTGTGAAGATTAAGTGCATAAATGCTAAGTAATGTGGCATATGTTGAACATTACGTATCACTGAAGCAGTGTTCTTGTCCACTTCAACCTCTAAGAACAGGACTTTGTGTAGTGCCTCTTAAAAAGCACATAGCTCAACTTACTGTGTCCTTTTTATTTACAGGCAGAAGGACAGGGTTGTATCTTTCCTTATAATCAATGCTGTATGTTCCAAGTTGAAAGAAAAATAATAGTTGTAACTTTTTGAGCTGAGTAGTGGTTCCTTTTGAAACTCCTGGAAATGTTTTTGCTACCAAATAAGTTATGTTTTATGGTACTGAAGCCATTCAAAAGTAAAAGGCCCAGAATTCAAATTTTGCAGGACAATCTTACAGGAACCATAGACTGGTTCATGGAGAGGCATGAAGGTAGAAAATAAATGCAGTACAATTCTGTTTTAACAGTATTTCACCGTATTTAAACCAGCCTAGAGCCTTTTAAGTTGAATGCCTTAGCACTCATTACTAATGACCTAGGGGAAATGTTATGAGCATCAACCAAGAAGTGGACAGCTAGCTATATAATTATTTGGGATAGACAAGGTAGCAGAGAACATTGCCAGAAAGAAAAATATGTAATACAGGAGGGAATTTGAGTCGTATATAAGAAAAATAACAAATTAGTGTTTTTAAGACTATCATGGCCAGGGCTTTCCCTTTCAGGAGCACGCCCACGCCTTTCTTCCCTCTCAGGTG